GCCGCGGCGCGGTCGGCGGCGGAGGCGGCGGTCTCGTATGCGGTGTCTGTGGCTTTCATGGCGCCAAAAACGACGCCCTTGTAGCCGGACGAGGCTGCAGATACAGAGGTGAACAAGCAGTGGGAGGGCCGGCAAACCCAGAGATGGTGAGTGCGATGACCACGTCAACAGTGCAAGTGTGCAACTGAGTGTGCATGCGTGCATGTGCGCTTGTGCGAGTGTATGCACGTGCGCGCAATTGCAAGTATGCTGATGTGTGCGTGCGTGTGTGTGTGTGTGTGTGTGTGTGTGTGTGTGTGTGTGTGTGTGTGTGTGTACACGTGCGCACACAGCGCAGGAAAGAGGACAGTGGAAAAGGGGATGTCAAGGAAGCCCTGAGTGCCCAGAACGGCCCAAATGCACGCCCACATCCAACGGGTACGCATTCATGTGAGCACACGTGTCCACCGCCTGCAACCCCACCATAGTCGATCATGGCGTCCAGCGCGTCATCACTCAGCAGACCCGCCCTGCCAGCCGCGGCGCCCAGCAGCGTCCCGTCCACGCCGGCAGCCTCGCGCTCCGACGGCGCCTGGACGGGGCGAGCCCAGAAAGGCAGACAAGCAAGAAAGCGCGAGCCGTGACGCAGCAGGTTTGCGAGGCACGGGTGCGAGTGGGTTTCGTGCGTGGCAGCAGGTCACCACATTGGCTGTGTGTGGCCATGCACCACATGCAGCAACCCCCATCCCAAACCTCCGCCCCCGCCCACGCACACCTTCCGCTTGTCTGCCCAGAAGGGCTCCCCCACCCACTGCCAGGGCGCCAGGCTCCAGACCGGCTCAGTCGCGTGCAGTGGGACGGCCAGCGCCTGGCCCAGCAGGCTGCGTAGGGGGGACGGCAGGGACGGCATGTTGTGGGGCTGCACACGCACCCACTCGATCTGCGGGAGGGGCCATTTGGGGGAGCAGTGACAGGGTTTGGGTGGTTTGGGGGTGAGGAAGTGGGACGCCCGTTGCAATGATGAAGCGTGAGGCGGCACGTTAGTGTGGACAACATTGTTGTATCAACCCGTTGCCAGCACCAAATGCAATCGAGTGAACCGGAGCTGCCGATCAGCCGCCTACGCTCCCCGGCGTCTCAATCATTCGATGATCCAGCGCAGATGGGGTGAGGGCGTGAACGCAGCGCGCTTGCACACTGCCACTCGCGGTCGCTCCAATTCGCTCACGCACGGCGCCGCGCAACACACAACCACCCTGAACTCGGCTCACCTTGCCGCTCTGCAGGTCGCCCACAACGCAGGCTGTGATCTCGCAGATCAGCCCCAGGCGCCGCGGCAGCAGGAGCGTCGGCGGCAGCAGGAAGGAGCGGCGCGGGAAGAGGGCCTGGGAGGCGGTGATGTGCACCAGGGTGCGGCTGCCGAGGGGCTTCACCTGCGGGGGATGGATTCATCTTGACAAGCACGTCGGCATGGCTTGCTTGCAGCGGCGTGGTGATGCTCTTAACGTTTAGGCACGCCTGCAGCAGCATGTACACCTGGCCGTCCGCGACAGCCACGGTGGCGGTGCACAGTGCTTCGACGTGCGGCTGGTGGTCAAGCGCCAAGCAGAAAGCAACGCACGCAGGCGTTTTGGCCCTAGGTATGCTGGGCGGCTGCAGGCCGGCAACTGGGGTGTAAAATGTGCGCGGGGCCCGACACCCACCCTGACCAGCAGCGGCTCAAAGTCCCACGAGCCGAGGGCCTTCTGAGTCATCCACACCCACAGCCGCATGTGGCCCTTGCGCTGCGAAGGGGAGGTCGGTAAGCGCGGCCGTCTGGGCGCAGGCGGCGGGCCGCGCTACCCAGGACTGAATGGAATCAGGCATCACAAAGCCAGAGGGGGCTTTTGGCTGACGAGGCCGGAGGTCGGCCCCTGTCGCACTCACGGCTTCACCCCCAAGCCCCCACCAGTCAAATGTTGATGTCACAGCAGGCGACGGCCCGTCCCAGCACTGTGGATTGTGGTGCCGCAGTCACCTGCATGGTCACAAGGCTGTCGTCAAACATTACATCGCGGCTGAACGCGTCTGCGGCCGGCAGCGCGACGCGGCAGCAGGGTTATTGTCGTGGGCGGCGAAGCATTGGTAATGGGGCGGCCCCGGTTGCAGCTGCTGCCCTAACAAACCCCCCAGGCCTCAAACCTCAATCCAAGTGTGGCGCTTTGTTATCTAGTACGTTTCAGCCGACCAATGGCCATGCCTCCCACCCACCCATGTCGTCGCAGATTTCGGTCATCGACTTGGCGCGCCACAGCCGGCGCAGGGTGCCCACTACACGCCCCGCAGGATGCTCGGCGAGCTTGTTGGGTGTCACGTACTCATCCGCACCCAGATGGTGCTCCAACTGCAGGTTTGGGGTGGTTCAAAACAATGATTCAGTTGGGGGGGTAGGTGGGCGTCAAGGGGGTGATGCCGCACTCCGATAGTCTGCGGCGGGGTCTTGTCGTCTAGCTGGCAGATCGCCGCGCAAGGCGCCGGCCTACCTGCGTGGTCATGTAGCCTTGGTCGAACTTCGGCGCTCCCTGCATCAGAGTCCGGGCAACGCTCACGCCAGAGCTCTTCTCGACGCCGGCCATTGCGGGAATCTTGTCTCACAGACCTGCAAACACGTCAGTCGATCGCATATGTGACCTTGACGGTATGACCGTTTCCGTTGTTGTCTACATCTCGACCCCGTACCCGCAGCGCCCGGTTGGCGCCCTCGGAAGTGATGTCAGTGCGAGTGGGCTGGGAACGCACCAGCTGGGCAGTCGCCGGTGTGCAGTCATCCCAAGTACTCAGAGCTGGGCGTGGCGCAGCAACAAATTCGGCCTCCATAATCAGCCGCCAACCTGTCGGTGGGCCCTGCGAACGGTGAGTGAAGTCGGTCAATGAAAAGGAACACTCGTACAGATGCGTGTACTGGTGCAAAGGCACAAATGTGGTGGTACTGTCATCTTCCTTCCTTTGACCTCATCCTTTGCCGGTCAAGGCCGAGGCGCTGTCTTTGTAGTAGGGTTGTGGGATGATCAAGGGGCGCAGGGGCTCTTGGACTAAGGTGCATTGCACGGTATGCTCACGAGTTGCGCCCAGCATGGTATTTGATTGCATTTGGGCGGGGGCCCCTATGCGCTGGAGTGCATGATGGGCATTGCCAAGGGCATGTGCAGTGGTACATTGCAATGGTGGCACCTGGCGCTGTGCTCTCACTGTGCACTCACAGCACTGATTGCCACCACAGGCAGGCATGGTGCCCGCTTGTGATCTTCAATCCTCCAATTTGTTACCAAGCCTGATGTTGTTGAGCCCTTGGGCAACGATCTGTCCTGCAGTCTGATTCGCAGCAGCCATGAAACGGGAGGCCTGGCCAGTGCACAGCACACAAGGGTGGACCAGGACCCCGCAACGCACCGAAGTCGCCACACAGCGGGCCTTAGGCGGTCAAGAAGCTGAGAGGGACTTCGAATTTCTGTTCAGCAGTGCTTGAGAGCTGCATTGCCCTGTTTGTTTTTGCCATGTGCATCAGTGTCTCAAATCAAAGTGATTCGACTGTGCGAGCGGCAGTCAATGTCATTGCATCAGATGAGCCACATGCAGCGCTCTCGAATGGATACCAATGTTCTTCAAGCTCTTGTACACGAGCCCACTTGCTGTACAGTCTGTACCCTCCTCTCCTGACTGGTCTTGGGTGTGTCACCAGTGTCACTGTGCATACCTCAATTTGCTGTCTGTCCCCGTCATGTGCTGTCTGGTCCCCGTACCTCTGATCAAGTGACCTGACATCCGTGTTCAATATCAAAGCAGATTGTACGTCACGCGCGCACGACTGTATTGTTCATTTGGATCTCGGGCTGCGTTCTGCCGAGTGTGCCCCTGCGTCAGTTGCACGGTGCAATGGACGGGACAAGCAGGGTGCGTTTGAGACACACGTCAAGGCCGGCCAGTGCCATCCCAGCAGCTCGCAGGGCGGAGAGACGGCAGCAGCGGCCGCTGTCAACTCGAGCAGCAGCAGCAGCGGCACAGGCGGCGGGTGGCGCATGGCCTCAGCAAGGCGCAGCAGCGGCGGCAGGTGCGATGGCTCCCAAACAGGCTTCAATATGCCTGTTTCGTCAATGGTACAGGACATCTGCGCGCAGCGCAGCTTGCAATCATAACGTTGTGGTTGGAATGCCCGCAGGCAACCCAAAAGCAGCAGCAAGCGGCAAGAAGCAGCAAGAGAAGCTGCCCCTGCAGCAGCGGATCCTGAACGGCATCCTCAATGTGTCTAACGTGCCGTACAGGTGCGCCCTGCGGCCTTGCCAGAAGCGGCGGGGTCCAACGCAGATTGACACGAACCACGGCAGCCGGGACTGATCGCCGCAGCAGGCGTGAGCCGCGGGGCCTCCGTGCCGCCCGCTTCGACCTTGCATCGCCTTGCACACCCCACCGTGCCTCCCCCCCCTGCAGCTCCTTCGTCCCCTACCCAGTGACACCCCTGCACCGGGTGGACGCCCAAATAAAGCAGGTGAGGACGCAGGGGAACCCCTCTGCACGTCGTGACCTCATCTAGGGGAGGGACGGGGGGAGCCGTGCCAGGCGGCCGCCCCAACGCTGCCGCGGCCTCAGGTCTCACAACCATTCTACTCGAGGCGCAGGCCACCAACGAGCAGCTGCGCGACCACACAGCGTGTGCGCGCTGCGCCCTTGTTCCAGCCAGCCTCCACCAAGTGCCTCGCAGCCCCTCGTCACATCTGCCATCCGTTCCAAACCACCTGCAATTGCTTCTGCACACACGCGCGCACCCCTTCTTTGGATCTTTACGCAAAATTTCGCAATTTCGCGCCGCAGCTGTGGCTGGTGGCGCTGTACATCCTGATTGCGCGCGCGACCCCCTGGCTGCGCGTAGGCATCGCCGGCTGCGTCGCGGCCCTCACCATGCTGACCCTGCCGCCGCGGCTCTGGGAGGCGCAGCTCAAGCGCCTCTCCCTGATCTGTGGCCTCATATTCGTCTTCACCGCGATCGGCGCCGACGGCGTCCCGCCGCTGCTGCAGGCGCGCGCGCTGCCAAACGCGGCCGAGGGGCTGCCGGGCCTGTCGCCGGCGGCGCCGTACAGCTACGTAATCCTGAACCTCTGGGTCATCACCATCACCCGCCGCAGCGTCAACCTCGCGGTGACCGCGGCGGCGCTGACGTTCTGCGCGCTGCAGTCCGCGAGCCTGTGCCTCGTCACCACCCCCGGCGAGGAGATGGCGACCGCGCTGCAGCGCTGGCTCGCGCCGCTGAGGCTGCTGCGCGTGCCGACGCAGCGCATCGGCGTCACGCTGCTGCTGTCGCTGCGCTTCATGAGCCTCGTGTTTGAGGAGGTCAGGAACCTGTGCCTTGGCCTGGCCGCGCGAGGGGTGGACTGGCGTGCGCAGGGCGGGCGGGGCAGCATCGAGATATTCGCGCGCCTGCTGGTGCGGCTGTTTGCAAACCTCTTCTCGCGCAGCGAGAACATCGCGCAGGCGATGGTGGTGCGGGGATTCCTGGGGCCGGAGCAGCACCACCTGTACATGATGCGCGTCAACGCGTCCAGCCCGCTAGCGAACGCGGCGGCGCTGGCGGCGCTCGCGGGGCTCGCGGCGGCCGTCGCGTCGCTGCGGTGACTGGGTGGGGCGGCGGGCGGCGGGCGGGGCCGGCCTGCCTCGCCCGTCCAGCCTGCCGTGTCGGTGGCGGGGACGTCTGGCGCGTGGCGCCTTTCCCTGGTATTGGCCGCGAGGGCCGGCTGCGGCAGGGAAATTGGCTGCCCACAAGGATTGTCAGGGCCATGTGCTGGTTTGTGTGTGTATTCCTCCCACCTAATGGCAGCACCCGCACAACCCTCAGCACCCACCATCTGCGCCGGTCAGCTTCCCAGGCGCACCCACCTCGCCGCGCGCCTGCGCTCGTCCCACGGCCTGCGGCCGCCCTGTCACCCCGTCACCCAGTCACTTGCCACGCCTGCAGCGCACCCAATCAAACATCCCGCGAGCCCACGTGTGTAAACAAGCAGCTTTATCCGCAAAGCATGCCTACGGTCACAGATGAATCATCATATGGGTGCAATCACCAGCTTGGTCGCTCAGCTTGCGCGTTGCGACCGTGTTTGGGTGTTAGGAGGGGAGGGGGAGAAGTAGCTGTGATGGGGCAGCGCTACGCTTGAATGCAACCGGTGCGAGGTGCCAGCATGACAGCAACATACTACTGCAGCATGATGCTCCCTCTGCAGCAGTGATCAGGTAGACTCTTTTGTGCAGCCCCTGGGGTCAGGTTGATGGCCACCTGTACGCCCTTCCGATACTAGGTGCGCAGCACCCCAGACCCAACCAACGTTACAAGTATATCATGCCATCACGATGACTATGACCATAACCTCCCTTTTCAGGCTCCTGGAGACGGTGCATACTACTGCACGGGCGTTGCCCTGAGACTACAACTGAACTCAACTCGAAGCAGCGCAGCAGGCGGGAGTCAGTGTGCATCTTTAGCTGACAGCGCACTGAGCCACATCCGATATTCTATTGGACCAAAAAGACAATTTTCAGCATCCAACAGTCCCAGCGGACCGTCCACGCCTTCCGCGCCTCTTCCACGCAACATGGCACCCAACCCCACCGCGAATCAGCAGATATCCAAGCTGCTGTTTGGAGAGAGCAGAGGTGCGCACGTGTTGCTGGCAGGGGAGCAGCGTCCGTATGTGAGTCTGGTGCACCACCCGGCTGCCTTGACGAGGCGCTCACTTGTGCTCACCCGTCCTCGTTCGCAGCCTCAAAGCTGGCGCCAGTCGCGATTCCAGTGAAGAAGAAGGAAACCTCAAAGAAGGCCGTGGGGCTGGGGGTCGGCCTAGGCGGCGGCGGCGCTGTTGCTGTCTGCGCAGCTGTGGCAATTGCGCTGCTTGTGAAGCGCTCCAAGGCGCCCAAGGCAGCCGAGGCGGCTGCGGCCAACAAGGAGGGGGCTGGGCCGGTCATCGCGGACAAGCCATTGGCTGTGGAGCCAAAGCAGCCTGCGCCCGAGGCGGCAACCGCCCTCGCACCTGAGGCACCCGCCCACGTCACAGCGGCGCCCAAGCCCGTCACTGCCGCCGCGGCGCCCGCGCCGCAGCCTGCTGTGCAGCTGCAGGCGGCCCTCGCCCCCAAGTCCAAGCCTGCGCCGAAGCCCGTGGTGGCCTCTCAGGCGCCGGCCGCCGCCTCGAAGCCCGAGGCGCCCGCCAAGGCGCAGGCCCCCGCCGCCCCCGTGCCCGAGGCGCCGGCTGTCGTGGCCCACGTCGAGGCCGCGGCGGCAGACGCTGCAAAGGAGGCCAAGGAGGAGGCCGCCAAGGCCGCCGCTGCCAGGGCCGCCGCCACCGCCGAGGCCGCCGCCACCGCCAAGGCCGCCGCCGCCGCCGAGGCCGCGGAGAAGGCGCAGGCGGTGGC